AGACTATTCATTAACTGCAACCCTAGAAATCTAATGCTATTGACTGACTCCACAGCTATGTTATTAATAAAAGGTGGAGTGTGACTAGTGCTATGCCATCTATCGTTTTGGAGGGCAGATTTAAGAACATCCCTCTGCAAGATGATCTTTGTCTTTGTTGGGAAGATTCAAGAAAATCAGTTCCAGATATTTTGTTGCATTACTCCATCTATTGTGCCTGTCTTGGCATTCAGTGTTAACACTCAGCTGGCAGCAGGCTGACTGGACAAGCCAGATGAGGCTGAAGTATAACTCCTGATAGCAGACTCCTGCCATGAAATATCTAAGAAGGTTGCTTAGTTTTGCTCAATGGCAATTGTTGTAAGGAAGACTTGGGTCTATTTCAGGAACTGTTCGCTTGAATTCATTGTAATTCATAGGTATTGACATGTATATAATTAACCAGATTATATTTTATTTAACATTTATTTTATGTAATTTTGTATCATATAACAGTTTTGATCTCTCATCTTAAAGAACTAAACTAATCATTCAGTCTGCTGTAAAAGCTAGTGTGGATAAGCATTAACTGTTGATATTTAAAGCATTTTATCATCTTTGAGAAAATAAATAGTAAATTATTTTTGACTTTGGGTTTAGTTTGTGTCATGGTCATTCAGAACAGTATTTCAGAACAATTTCAGCAAAGAGGAAAGTATGCATATATTAAATCTGAAGAACCCTTGCTTGGCCTTTTGTATTGTTTATTCTCAGTTATATTTCAGCATTTTACTGCTTCTCAAGGAATTGCCAGTAACATTCACCTGATTAGAAAAGGGCAATAAAATAACAGGAATTCCAACTTTAAAAGGACAAATGAAAGACAATATGCAATATATTCTTTGTTCAATTATCCTGCTCCGATTAAATGATATTGTTTGTTATGATACAACTCACACTTTTAAGAAAAGAATTCCTAGCATTATTGTTAAATTTCTATGTCATAGGTTTTTCTTTAAAGCACATCTACTACTGTACGATTACAGTATATAAGAACATTCTGTTGGTTATTACATTTATTGTACCTCTGCCCAAGTTTACTGAATGCTTTCCTCACAGAATGGGTTTCCCATTATTTTTCTGTATTCTGTCCCAGCACATCCCATCAGCCTTGAGAATAATAAGAGGTTATGGTACAACAGGCAGCCAGTAGAGAGAAGAGTTGGAAAGTATATTATTTGTGCTAAGGAGGCATGAGTTGCCTGCTTGCGAATGACAGCAGAACATTAGTTCTAGCATAAGCAGCAGCTTTTTAGCTAAAAGAAGTCAAATTCTCAGTTAAATCCTTGCTGCTTTGTTTCTTACATAGTTATTGAAGAGATATATACCCTGTCCCATCCTATCTCCTTGTTCTAAAATGGGCATAATTAATTAATTAAATGTCTATGCCACTTAATTCATTTAGACTACATTAACTGTAGTTAACAAATAGCAAATATTAATCTTTAAGTTTAAATTACAACTTCCTGTACTGTATACCATGTTACCAATGTGAATAAAGATTTCTTGCACATTTTACAGAAAGTACTCAAGTTTGTGGTAGCTGTAGCCAGTGTGATTTTAGAGTAAAGGAGAGTACATCCTTGAATATTTATAATTTGTTCCTGTTGAACGTTTGAATGATTGTCAGCAAGTCATTCAATATTGGCAAACTGCAAGACCCAGGCCAAGTCCAACATTTCCAAGATGTACTTAATGAAAAACGCTCTGGCAATTTACCACTTGTACGAACCTGTCCTGAAAAGTGGATGCTATTTAAAGATGTCATCACACAAACTGCAACAACTGTACTCGGACTGAAAACCCGGGTGCATCAAGGCTGGTTTGATGAAAACCACGAGTCCATTTCAGCAGCCCTCCAGGCCAAGAACAAGGCCTATGCAGACTGGTAGAACAATCCATCATCTGTCTCAAAGAAAGACAAGTTTAAGCATCTGCAGTCCAAAATACAGGCAGAACTGCAAGAAATGCAAGATGAGTGGTGACAGAGAAAGGCTGAGCAGGTGGAATGCTATGCAGACATGCATGCCACTAGAGAGTTCTTTAGTGCCATAAAGTTAGTTTATGGTCCTTCTAAATCAGGAGTCTCCCCCCTGCTGTCATCTGATGGGTCGAGCCTGACCAAAGACCAGGAAGAACTGAAAAAATGCTGGGCTGAACACTTTTCAATCTGCTCAATAGGCTGTCCACAGCTGATCATGATGTCTTACAGCAGATTCCTCAACTGCCAGTCTTGGATGCCCTAGACCTGCCTCTCTCTGTTGACAAGATCAAGAAAGTGATCTCGCAGATGAACTCAAAGCAACAGGACAGGATGGCATTCCTGCTAAGATCTACAAAGCACTAGACCCAAACACCTTACAGGCATTCCAAGACATCTTAGAAGACATTTGGTCCACAGAGGAGATGCCTGATGACTTCCGCAATGCCCTCATTGTGGCTCTATACAAAAATAAGGGAAGCAAATCAGACTGCGGAAACTACAGGGGTATTTCACTGCTGTCCATTGCAGGCAAAATCTTTGCCCATGTTCTCCTGAACAGACTTGTCATTGTCTTGGAAAGGAACCTCCCAGAGGTGCAGTGTGGCTTTCGGCCAGAATGGAGTACAGCAGACATATTTGCCATGAGGCAAGTCCAGAAGTGCATTGAGCAGAACAAGCTTGTTTATTCTGTCTTCATTGACCTGACAAAAGCATTTGACACTTTAAACAGGGAGGCTCTCTTGATCATCCTGAGACATGATGGATGCTTGAGGAAATTTGTGAAATTGATTCAGCTAATCTACAATGGAATGACAGGACAGGTTCTTTACAATGGTGATACATCAGCTGCATTTGCCATTTCCAGTGGGGTAAAACAGGGTTGTGTGCTAGCCCCAGTCCTGTTCAATCTGTTCTTCACTTGTCATGTGCTGTTCAGGGTCTGAAGGAGGGAGTGTATATCAGGTACCAATTGGACGGCTTTCTCTTTGATCTTCGCTGCTTGAATGCACAGACGAAGTGCCTCCATACAGTCATCCAAGAAACCCTCTTTGCTGATGACTATGCACTCTTGGTGCACAAAGATAGTGATCTACAGTTGATGCTGAACAAATTCTCAGACACTGCTATGGTTTTTGCCCTGACTGTCAGCCTGAACAAGACTGAAGTACTTTACCAACTGGTGCCAAATACCAACCCTATAGAACCAAAAATCACTGTTGACGACACCAACCTGACAAATGTAAACAGCTTCAAATACTTGGGAAGCATCATCTAGAGTGATGGGTCTTTGGACAAAGCAATTAACTCCAGGATCAGCACTGGGGTGGCTAGGCACTGGGGTGGCTGTGTACTAGAGTGCTCAATCAATACAACATCCATATCTCCATCAAGCTGAAAGTCTACAGAACTGCGGCTATTCCTTCTCTAGTATATGGATGTTAGTCTGGGACTCTGTACCAAAGGCACCTCAAACAACTGGAGAAATTTCATATGTGCACTTTCTGCTCCAACTTCAGCAGTCATTGGCAAAACTGTGTCTCTGACCTGAAGGTCTTGGATTGTATAGATTCCACCAGCATTGAGTCCCTGATTATCAGAACCCAAATGCAGTGGGTGTTACAGGTCATCAGAATGGATGACCACCATATGCCTTGACAGTTGCTCTATAGTGTACTGGGATCTGGAAGGAGACCTTGAGGTTGTTCACACAAGCGCTACAAAGGCACTGTGAAGAAAACCTATACCACTGTGACATCCAGCCAAGGGAACTAGAAGCTATGGCTGCTGACAGAACCCACTGGCAAGTTCTGTGCTATGAAGCCTCCACTGGCTTTGAAGACAGGCACCGCTAAAAACCAATAGAAAATTGTGAGCAGTGTCACAGAATAACACCCACAGTCACTATAACAATGGACAGTACCCCCATTGCACTAGACTCTGCGCTTCCAGACTGGGACTGCAGAGCCACCTCCGGGTCCTCAGATGAACTGCACAACAGTGTGTCTTCTTCAAACCCAAAGGACTACCACTTTTCAGACACATGTAGTTAAACCTTGCTTAAGGAAGTGTTTAGTTCCTCAAATTGTTGGTTGAATGAATACATTTTCTTGCTCTGAGATAGAATCAGGGTGTTTTATATGGTCTTTAATTCAACTTATTATTTGAATCTCTCTCTCTCTCTCTCTCTCTCTCTCTCTCTCTCTCTTTTTCTTTTACTTTTTCTTTTAGTTATAGCTTTATTATTTTTTAAATGGTTGCAGTGATA